GCTTTCTACTCCCGTAAGGATTTACACCCTCGGAAACCCTGTACAGGGTCACTATGGGTCAGAACCGACTTGATGGCACTTAACAACAACAACAAGAGAATTTTAACGTGTCAGTGAACAATAGAAAACTGGAGTGCAGGTCGTTTTTTTAAGGTAAAACATAAATATTAGTTACAAAGAATTGCATTTAATGCAAGAGAGCCCTCTTCTACTTTATGTGGAGTTTCAGACAACTTTTGTGTCTAAGCTAAAAGTGCAGGACACTATTCTAAAGAAAGGGCACTTGTCTGGATTGGGCAAGTGTGAAGACTGAAAGAAGGCAGAGTTTAAGGTAACAGATAGCTATAACATAGATGTGAAGGGGCCTGAATGAGAACGTTGGTGGGCTGTGAGATGGGGACAGAACCGTTAGATAGAAATGAGGAGAACGTTAACATAATGTAAAGAAAGTAAGCAAAGTCACTGGACAATTTATGCAGAAATTGTTTAATGGAAGCCTGTTTTGTTATGGATACTTTTGTCAAAAATAAAATTAAAAACAAAAAATGGCCTATGGAGCTTAGTTCTACTCTGACAGGCATGGAGTTGCAATGAGTTGGAATCTAGTCTCCAAACACTTGTTTAGGTTAATTTATCAAGAAAAGTGTAATTTAAAAGCTTAGCAGGACAAGATACGCCTGGGACCCCCAGACATCCATTTCCAACAAAAAGGAAACATGACCAGCAAAGTACACCTTCCAGATAGGACTCATCCTTAGTTTTCATTACTATCCCACTAACTTTTGTAAAGCATATGTTCCTCTGTTTATTGGATCCAAAGCTTAATGTATATATTTTTTTGGATCAAGGTTAATTTTAGAGTTTTTCATATTGCCTTTGATCCTTAATCTGTACTGTCCACTAGACATATCAGCTTCTAAGAGAAATGTGATGGTTTCACATTGGGAATACAAAGTATCATGTTCTCTTCACAGTGTCTACTGTGTCTCCAGCACCTGTAACTGACCTGCTGTTGTGTAGTCAACTCCTGCTCCTGCAACCCCACAACCCATGTGTGTCAGAGTAAAGCTGTGCTCCACAGGGCTTTGTTTTTTTGTTTTTAATACTTTTATCGTGTTTCAGGTGAACGTTTACATGGCAGATTATATTCCCATCTAGCAATACACAGATTAGTCCAAGATGTTGGTTACAGTCCCCACAGTGTGTCAGCACTTTCCCACCTACTTTGGTGCCTTCCATACAGTTTCCCTGCTCCACCTGAATTTTGGGTCCATGTTGACCCGTAGTTTCATAGAGTTGATTGTTTAAAGGAGTACATTCTTCAGGGGTGCCATTATCTACATTATTGGTCAGTTTGTTATTTGGCTGAAAGGTGACCTTCAGGAGTGGCCTCAGTGCCAGGTTAATCCAGAAGGTTTCCAGAAGTAGATCACCATGCTTTTTTTCTGTTGCTTCTTTGAGTGAACTCGAAGCTTCAAATTTTCAGTCAGCAGCCAAATGCGCTTAGGGTTTATACCACCTAGGGACTCCCTCCTGTCTTTAGAAAAAGAGAAAACTCAGGCCACTTGATCATAAGGCCATAAGTGACTAGGCAAATTCGCTGGGAGTCTCTGCCAACCCTGCCCCAGAAAAGCAGCACATCTTTGGTAGACGAGCTCTTTCCAGTGTCTGCTGCCTTGCCCTCCTTGCTCTAGAACAACCTTTCCACAGTAATTGAGCAGTCCCAATACCGGACTCTCCTTCCTCCTCTGGTATACCCAGTTCCTCCTTCTAATTCTTAAGTAACTTCACAATAAGTCAGAACCAACCCAATGAAACCTAACAACCATAACAAGTTATTGTTGTTCCAACTCAGTGACCCTACATAGGGCTTCTGAGGAGTGGCTGGTGGTTTTGAACCACCAAACTTGTAGTTAGCAGTCCAGTATTTATCTTTCAGTACCATACTAGGACTCCCAGATCCTCCTTGGTGCCTCAACTCAGTTCTGACTCACAGCGACCCTGTATAGGGTTTCCAAAGAGTGGCTGGTGAATTTGAACCACTGAGCTTGCAGTTCAAACCGACCTTGTGGTCCAGTGCATTATCCTGCAGTGCCACACCAGGATTCGAGTTCCTCCTAGGCCTCAGCAAATGTCAGTTTAGTAAAGACAGAACCTGGGAATAGAATTAATGAGAGTCATGTTTACGCCATATTACCAGCAACACCGCAACACTTTTTTCCAGATAACTTACAAACTTTTTTTCGGGCATTTTTATTCTGCCAATTTAATCAGTATCTTTCCTCTCTCCTCATCCCCTGCCCCATATTTTGTCTACTTTCTTTTTTCACAATAAGAAAATGCCTATGAAAACCACTCTAACTAAAGAAAACTCTTTTACACATATTATTCTTGTATTTCTTTACAGTCCCATTCTGACATGCCTGCTCACTGTTGTAAGGAGGATTTTATTGCTTGTGTGAAACAAAATGTCTTGCTAATAAACTTTTTCTAAACTAGGAAGTAAAACAATATTGGTGGTGTGAACACAGTGGGTTTCTAAGCATTTTTCATGTTTCCTTCCATTATGTTACAGGATAGATTCCTGGCTCCAAGTTAAAATAATTCCTCCAAACTAATAGGAAATTCAGTATGACTTACTCAGAGAAGTGTTGGATATAAACTGAGCTTTTCACGTGCAAAATTAAGATGTGTTTTAAAACACTGTTACTTGAGTTAATTTAGTTTGAGGAGCTAGGTAAAGGTGGATGAGGAAGAGATACTTCTTAAGTAATATAAGCATGTGCTATACATACTGCTCCTACACTCACATACTCCCCCTGTAACTTTAAAGCTGTCTGTTAGAAGGATGAGATGTAGTTGCTAGCCAGACCATGTTGGTTTGGACAGAAATTCTTACAGAATTATTAAGCCTTAAAAAAAGCAAAGGAGATTTATGCATCTGCGTTTGACCAATTTGGTTTGGAATCCGTTCATAATGGAAAAGTAATAAAACCGTAAGAGACAGTGTCTTCTGAGCACAGTCTCGCTTTTAAAAAATCTAAACATGGGCTGCCCCATTTTGGATTAAATGACTGTAAAAAAGTTTCCTGTTGGTGATTTGGGGAGAATTTTCTTCTTGTTGTTGTTTCATTTTCATTGATTATTAACCAGTATAAACTTCAAGTTTTCTGTCAGTTATTTTTCTGGAGGGCGTCGGTCTTAGGAAAAAGGAATCCTAAAGTGTTATCTGCCGGAATCTTCCTCTTCCTTTATTGTTATCTCCACTACACACAGAGTGTCACACAGTCACACATAGTGTTTGTTTAGCTATCTGTACAGTCATTTTCTTGTGGAACTGGAGAGGTAAAGGTTGTGTTCTGAATGTTTCCTGTGTTTCTGGTGGGGGGATGTGTATGGTTGAATGAATGAGAGACGGCTCCTCCTGGGACTGCTAGCCACTATGAGAGGCCTGAAGAGGAAACTTACACAACAGCTTAACCTCTGAAGCATTGGACCTACTAACTGTGTGTGTCTCTGATTTCAACAGGAAAGGGGAAGAGGGGCTCTTCTTCACTCATTCTCAACTCCTTGCAGTAATGTTTTTATTGTTAGGTATCATTGAGAAGATTCTGACTCAGTGACCCCATGTGACATAACAGAACTGTCCTGGAGGGTTTTGTAGGCTGTCCTGGTGTGGTGTTGTGTGTTAAGGCGCTGAACTACAAAATCAGTTGAAACCGTAAGTTTGGTGGTTCAAGCTCACCATAGACTCTTTGGAAACCCTATACAGGATCACTATGGATTGGAACCGACTCGATGGCACTTAACAACAACAGCAATTTTTACAGGAGTAGATAACCAGGTCGTTCTCCCTTGGAGCTGCTAGGTGGGTTTGAACCACCAACCTTTCAATGCACCTCCATGGCTCCTTCTGCAGTAATGGCATTGATCAGTGATTTCTTAAAATTCTTTAAATATATAAGCCTTAAAAAAGGAAGGTTGGGAATTTGAGACAAGGGGAGGTAGGAGTGTGTGTAAATGTGTTGGAGCGTTTGTCACTGCAGGCAAGATATTCATGACTTTGTGTTCCATATAGGACAGTGAAGTAGCCATTTTATTTCATTTGATTCTTAACTTTCTTTCCATGACAAGCAGTTGAAAGCACAGTTATTTTTATATAGTGAGAATGTGACCAGACTGAGATGGTACTGTGTCTCTCCTGCAGGTATGCCTGCGGCATCTTTAGTGACCCCTGCTGATGTTATCAAGACGAGATTACAGGTGGCTGCCCGGGCTGGCCAAACCACTTACAGTGGAGTTATAGACTGCTTCAGAAAGATACTACAGGAAGAAGGTCCAAAAGCTTTGTGGAAAGGAGCTGGTGGTATGGAAATAATTTGTTCTTAACTAACCGTTGGGCATCCAATAATTGTTTTTTTAGAAATTTAATTATATTTGTTATTTCCCCTATTTCTTCCATAGCTCGTGTATTTCGATCCTCACCACAGTTTGGTGTCACTTTGCTGACTTATGAATTGTTACAGCAATGGTTCTACATTGATTTTGGGGGAGTGTAAGTATCATGCTAAATCTGAATCTCTGCTGCTTGTGTTACTCTGTTTTGATTGAGTCAGGAACATAAGTCTAGTGCATATAATAAAGTAGAAAAGATATATGAAAATATTGGAATCATGTTAACAAGCTATTTCAAAGAAAAAAGTCTACAAGTGTCTAAAATTGAACAACACCTTTATTTTGTTTAATAGTTTTGGGACGTTGTCTTTGCCAAGTTAAAAAATAATAATAATTATACAAAAGAAAACTAAAACAAAACTGAGATTTTTTTTCTCTTATTTTCCCTTCCTTTAGAAAACCCACGGGACCAGAAACAGTCCCTAAATCCAGGATCGCACTGCCAGCTCCTAATCCTGATCACGTTGGAGGCTACAAATTGGCGGTAGCAACTTTTGCAGGGATTGAAAACAAATTTGGACTTTATCTACCTCTCTTCAAGCCACATGCATCTACCTCAAAAGTTATCAGCGGAAGCCCATAGGAGGACCAGCCCCGGGTATTGCTGAAACATTGTGATTACAGCAGTGAAGACCACCTCACCTCAGCAAACTGACGCAGCAGCTTATTCCTTTTACATCCAGTTCCTGTTTAAATTATTATTGAGGCTTTTTATAAAGTAAAATTGTTCACTTTCTCTGTGTGTTTCCTTAACCAAATCATTGGATTATTCATAATTATTCTTTGAGCTTTAGCCTTGTATCTCACCTGTTTAGGATTGGGTAACACCACTACGTGATCTGGGGAGAGGTGCCAGTAGGGATAAAAATTTGGATTGTTCACCTTGGAAAGGAATTAGAGTCCCAAAGAGGTTACTGGAAGAGGGTTGTGCTTAAATAGGTAGTAAGATGGGTACATCCTTATAAAAATGAAAAAACACTGTAAGAAAGGGAAAAAGTGATCAGAAATAGCCAGCCTGGTTTCAAATTTTAAACATACACAAATTTTGTCTCTGGATTATATTATGAAGCTTTTATGTGAAACATGTTTGTTTGTTTTTGTGGGTTTTTGGTAATAAAAACCATATTGAAGATGCTACTGGTACCAAGACTACTAAGGAAAAGTCTTTGTTGTTTAGGGAAGTAAGTTCTTCTGGCATTTTACAGTCTAGACAGATAAACCATGGGATGCAGCGCTTCTCCTGGATGTGCTAAGTTTGAGTAACTGCCCGTGTGCTGTACACATGCTGATTACTCCTTCTTTCAATGGACACCATGGAAGAAATGGTGCACCCTAATCCTCTGTTCTAGTACCTGATCCTCTGTCCCCATAATCAGCACCCATTTGCTATTAAAACTCACTTTATCTTAAATCATGTAAGTCAAATATATTATAATGTGATCTTTAATTTGTGGTGCCTTCTATAGCATTCAGAAGCTTTTGTGTATTTGGAAGTAGAAATAAACTTTTTAAATTCATTACATTGTTTGGTATTGTGCATACCATGTGGTGAATGAATGCAGTAATTGTCATTACTGGACTCCCATGTTTGTTGTTGTTGTTGCTTTAATGAGTTTTATTCACACCATGGTGGATATATGCTCATGATCTTTCAAGGAAATATGTACCCTTGATTTCAATATGCCGTAGTTCTGAGTGACTAAGAGAAACTTTGTTTAACTTATAGAACCATAAAGTTTCAGTGCAAGTTTGGGTATGATAACAGGTATGAAGTGACAGTTGTAAATGTTTTTCATATTTTCTGATTTTTATTCATACCAAAACCATATATTTTGATGACATAGGCTAATATTTGGTCAACACAATTATTTGGAGTCCTGGTGTGGTGCTATAGGATAAGCACTGGACCTCAAGTTTCGTTTGAACTGCAAGGTCGGTGTTTCAAACTCACCAGCCGCTCCTCGGAAACCCTATGCAGGGTCACTATGAGTCGGTACTAACTCAATGGCACTTAACACAATAATAACTCAATGGCACTTAATTAACATAATTATTTGGAGAAATAAGCTAGTCTTGAACAGAGTTTAGAACTCTTTTACTTAGACTACAATGATGCTCCTAAAGATGTTAATGGTCAATCTATTGGTAGTCAGTATGAAGGAACATTCCTTCTATGTTGTTGTAGTTAAGTTCTGTCGAGTCAGCTCTGAGAAGTGGCTGAGTTTGAACCACCAGCCTTGTGGTTCAAACCGACCTTGCAGTCCAGTGCTTTATCCCACAGCACCATACCAGGAACTCCATCCATAGGAGACAGACATTGAGAAGTCAGTCTGTGTTGCTGTAGGTCAGCAAGATGACTTCGAAAGTACATTTGGAATTGGGAAGAGTCACTGTCATCCACAAATCTCTGTAGTTTTTTTGGGGGGGGGGAGGGATTTTAAAAAAATGTACAGAACATTTATTGTCTTAAGCAGAATTGGACAAATTTACGCATGGCTTCTTCCATGTCTATTTGGCAAAACCAAAGGGAAAGCCCCATTCCCAATGTGTGAAGGAACAGAAACCTCCAAGTACAAACAGATCTCTGTATTTTCCTCTCAAAAATCAGAGTCACAATAGGTCTTAGAATTGTGGATGGTCTTATAATAACAGGGCATGCTAGCTTTGGTCTTCTAAGTGTGGAGAAAAGTTGCTGAGTGTTTATCTCTGCGTTCATTTTCTTCACGTGCTTGAAACTTTATAGACTATCAGCTTTCCAGAGAAAAAACATTGACCCAAATGGCATAACTGGTGCAATACCCCAGTGGCTTCTTAAGAGCTGCTGTATTTGATGGGAGACTGTCTTGGCTTTACTTTGACTCCCACATAGCTGTGGGTGATTCTCTTTAGTACTTAAGAAAGCAGAGACTCTAGGAAGTCAATGAAGAAAGAGTCACATGTCTGAATTTCTTTAAATCCTTGATTTACTCTGTTCAGGGATAGGCAGTGACTTGAGACTGTTTGAAGGAGTTCTAATTTCCCTCTGAGTTCTGCTCACTGGGTGGTGGTACTGTGACATCCTTGAAAAGGACTGCAATCACTGCCCAGTGAAAACCATGTAAAATTTGTTCTGGGTTTTTGTCGTCCTAAAGTGACAGCACAATACATCATCAGTGGTATGGTTGCTGTTCCTAAAGTCAGCTGTTTCCCTCCTGCACGCTGAAGAACAGAAAGAGGAGTAGCCCCCATCAGCTTTCCTGCCCACCCAAGGGGACCAGCCTCCCCCTGTTCTGCCCTGCCCTGGTCCACTTCCTGATGCCTAGGGGAGGGGGAGGGGGAAAGGCCTGACTTGTAGAAGCTTTTTTTTCAAGGAGGGGAAAAAATGTGAAGCTGACCACAAAGTGAACACACTGACTCTTGGGTTCCAGTCGTGGCTGGGTTTCTTGAGGCTGGGTGGCACGCTGTCGCCAATCTCATGCTACACCTCATAACCCACAGCCATTTGCGGAGCTCCCTGGGGTCGTCTTAATCCCAGCAGCCAGAGTCGCACAGGGAAAAATAAGAATTCTGGCACAGAAAGGAGTCATTTAAATGCTTATTGCATTTCAAGCTTCAGTTTTTACTTAGCTAAAATATTTACCATTGCTGGAAAACAATGTTTAAAATTTTGTGCTTATATGTTATTTAATGGTGTGGCCTATGTAAACCTCAGGATGCTTACATTTTGACAGTCTTCTGGAAATGTTTAACAACACATAACTCAGAACGGGGAATCAAAACAGGAACAAATTGTGCTTGAAACTGTAACCTACTCCAACTAGGTAACCAGCACGTCCATTGGAATACTTCAGGTGGAGGGAGAGAAATCTTCAGTGATGGAATTTCATGAATCCTGTCTTATGGCTGCATTTGCAACCGTTTTTGATAAACTCCCCCTAAAAGTTATCAAGATCCTTTTACCACAGAAGCCATACTTGAAGAGATGAATTTGTAGCCTTGCCATTGAGCACAATCCCATTTTAAATGCAGGGTAATCAGATGGTTTCAGGATGTGAATTCTCCCAAAGATTTGTAAATGGTCAGAGCAGAGAAGAACTTTTTTTAATTCTCCCAAAGATTTGTAAATGGTCAGAGCAGAGAAGAACTTTTTTTTTTTTTTTAAAACACAAAGGAGGTGTGCCTTGCTTTACTTTTTGGGGTTAACAACACTCATCAGAGGGTTCTACCTTCAATGTTATGAAGGCCACAGGGAGTTGAGAGTATTATTTTAAAGTCTGAGGTCTCCAAAAGTATTGTCACCTATGTCAGGGACAGCCTTCAATTCAAAGTCTAGACTGGACTTCTTAAAAATAGGGACTGTTTTTGATTTTTGTGCTTCAGTGCCTGGAACTTAGCAAATGTGGGGATTTTTTTTTTTTTTTTAATGGTAAATTAATGCATGAATGGATATATGAATTTTGAGAAGTTACTTTTATTCCAACAAATAATCTCCATTATTTTCCTACTTTACAGGTCTTTCCTACTGTTGGAATTAAGACCATAATCCCAGTTCTGAAGCATCACAGTCTTATTTATTGATTACTTAATTTAGACATTAGAAATAAATATTTTATTAAGGCAAATACAGCTATTCAAAATTGGTTTCAATTAATAGGTAACTTTGAGGCAGGAACTGACATGTAAGCTAGAGATATTTATATTTCCTTATTGTTATTAAAATGATGCATTTGAAATTAGTGTTACATCAGGTTTGAGAAGTATCTAAGATAGTGTTCCTTATCAGTGAATGAATTCATTATTTACAAATCATTCTCTGCTCATCTCAGCTCCTGACATTTATATAGCCCTCAGGGCACAGTGGCAAGCTTTCATTTAGAAGTTGCTGAGGACAATAAGAACTCTCAAAAGGGTTTGTTTTTTAGCAAATGCATTAATTGACTCCAAAAAGAGTACAAATGGAACACTGCTTTCATCTTCTGGGGTAACCTAATAAAATAATGTTGTTTGTTTTTAGATTCCCGGCTGTTAAGGGGGTTTTTGCTCAAGGCAAAACCACAGTACCCTCGAATAACTTCAGAAGGAAAATTAAGAAGACACACTAATTGTACTTGTCTGAAGCTTGCTTCTCCTGGGTCGCAGACACACCCCCCTGCACACTGGTCTGGCCGCCAAGGCTCCAGTGCCCACTGCTCCTTTCATTCCATTGGGCAAGCCTCTTCAGAGATGCCTGGTTTTGCAGGAGAGCAGTTCTTAAAGTAATTTAAAAATGGATTCCAGCTCTCTGAAAAGACTTGTGTAAGCATGCTGTAGTCTGTTTTACGAGGTGAGGAAAGGGCAGTGTCGTTTAATGCAAGAAGTCTGATTAAAACACTCTTCCAGCTCACATCACCCCCTGCGCCATCCTTAGTCTCCTACTCCAGCTCTGGCTCTGATCCATTAATGAACTGATTTCAGATGAGAGTTGTTAGATGCTGTCCACTCAGTTCTGACTCACAGTGACACTCCCGGGTTCTGTGTCATCCTCAAAGTTGTTATATTTGAGCCTGTCGCTCTAGTCATTGTGTCAAACCAGTTCATTAAGGGTCTTCCTTGTTTTTGCTGATCCTTTATGTTTTGAAGCATGTTTCCTTCTCCCAGGACTGGTCCCTTCTGAC